TGCTGGAGTGGGTATCCTGCGGTCTGCACTAGCGGGTACCCTCCTCCCTGTTGGGGTAGATAACCACTTGATTGTTGGAGGGGTGGATATATAGTAGCCCCTGTAGTGACAGGTTGTTGACCTGGTCTACCGTAAACGTGAACTTCAATGTGGCCAGCAGAGGGCGCTGCAGGTATTTGATGAGTTGTCGTGACTATCAGAGTTTGCGGAGCGTGCCTTTTTGCAAGGTCTTCATTTGTCGATGACACCAGACACGGCATACGAATGATATCAATAATCCAGCCAATACCGCATATACCCAGTGTAAATGTGTACAGTAAACCACAACACACACGGTCTAGATAGTACATGTGCAGACCTGACAAAATAAAGAATAATTGAAAGAATAAATACGTTATAAAACCCCAAGTTAATAATTATCGTCTACCCATGAGCCTTTGCGTGTTTAGCGTGTTTTTTTATCGTCGCTTGGGACTCAATTCCCGCGCGTGCGCAGTTGACGACACTCCCGCTTTAAAAGACTAACGTCACGCAGACTTCGTACGTATTTTACGCGCGTTATATACGTTTGAGACCCACGTCACCCTGAGCGATATGCACGCTGGGTAAGTGATCCGTTGACGAGCAGAGGGATGCCAAAGTCTACATTGTATCCATGGTAACACAGTAAATGTCACCGTGACTTGTGTATAGTTAATAGTTGACGTAGTCAATGGACAATGTGTTGACTAGACAGCTCGATATCCTGTTACTCAGTGATTGACATTACTACAATGTCAGTATCCATAAGGATATTGCCTCTTTTTTTCTGGTATATCTGCAGCATTGAACCACAGCAATGCAGTATAATAAACACACGATGGTCACTGAACCGATATATCATGTTTCGTACCTAGCCCTGTGTGTAGGGTGGCATAGCGGCCGGAACAGCAGAAATGTACACAGGGCTAGTTTTGTACCACAATGTCTCGCAATACAGACTACCATCAATGATTGATCTTCGTTATCTACCATCCAACTACAACGTACTTCGGGAAGCGTGATTCCTAAGCAAGGACGGACCTAAACGACTCCAACAGACACAACTGACTCAAATAAATTCCCGACCGAACCCAATCCAGTCGCAAAAGGGGCCAAATGTAATCTAGTAACTGTTTTGAAACCCCGAATACCGTGTTTCCCGTCGTTCACTCACAGTAACACTGTAGTATAATTAAAGAATAACACCAAAACAACAAACTCACCTAACCATCCGTAAGGGATAACCAGTATGTAGCCATCATCCAATCTTTTTCGTGGTGGGATATACTGTCCTCTCGCCCTAGCCTCAAGTTCCTCGTTGACGGACGATACCAGGCATGGTAGACGGACCAGGTCGCATATCCAACCCCAACCGAGCAACCCAAGCGTAAACAGATACAACAGTCCCCAGCCGACCCGATTGAGGTAGAAATGCTGAAGGCCCAACCAACCAAAGGGTATTGCTAATAGATACGATATGCATAGACTCTTCTTGGGCGCAATGCGGACACCTTGTTCCTCATCCGCCATTTGTAAATTATACATGTATACTAAATAATAAAGGTCAAATATGGAAAGGTTAATAATTACAAAATGATTCACCACATAAACTATCACATGGTTCAGACTAAACGCAGTAAATTACATGGGCGTGACGATATTTCAGGGTCTATGACGTCATCTAATAAACACACAAGTTACGTGTTTCACAATAGATGTTTGTGATATGAAGTTCAAACTAAAGCGATTTGAAATGAACAATTCATATACAATAGTAAAATCGGAGAATGATACTACTATTAGATAACTATTTCATTTTATTTTTTCGTCTTGACTGTGTAAATATTTTTATTTCAAAATGTCAATGCGGCGTAGACATTTTAAACTGGCAAGTGTTGAACTGGTTATCATTTCGTGTGTATGGAATATTAGAAATTCGTGGGAAGAATTTTAAAAAATAGAGAACAAAATATTTATAAAGAAAAAAGTTCACACATACTTGAAAGAGAAAATCAAACAAATTACAGCAACGACATCATGAAAACAAACTAGGGCTCATAGCTAAGTAAGATAATAAAATTGTTTATTATCACCGATAGAAATACACATACAGGAATAAATCGATTAGAAGCAGCAGAACACACGTCGGAAAGTACAAATAATTACAAAATGTGGGTGAACAGGTATTACAAGTCTGATTTTTTTAATTCAACTATATGAGAAATTGTTGAAAATTGCTATCTAAGTTCAACATTGTAGTCTTTGATAGTGTCTCCCAAGTGAGAAGTTAGCAGTACATTGCCCTGGGAGACATTTTATCCACAGGTGTGTCGTCACCTGTGCATGCGTCAGATGGCCATAGCGTGTCATTGTTTACAAACAAGCATCTACACATGAGCCTTTGCGTTTTTAGCGTGTGCTGTTATCATCAATTCCCGCGCCTGCGCAGGTGACGACGACCCTCCCGCTTTAACTTATTCTTATTCCGCAAGGTTCGTTTGATTTTATTCATCATAATTTCCCTCTAACTGGAAGATAAAATGTTTCATTGTTTTACACCATTTCCACATTAGAGACACGTACAACCCTATACATCAGTCCATTTTCGTTTTTCGAATGCCAGACATAGGGTATATTATGATCTTGCTTGTAATTTCAGTTTCATAATTTTTAATCGATTTTCCATTGTAATAAGATCCACAAGTACTGCTCCATTCGCTGTATAACTGTATTGTCGATGTATTTACACTGCCGTAATTACCAAGTAATGCCCTCATAACTGGGCAACGGTTATTCAATTTTTCTATTAGTTTTATACAGTGAGAGTGATCAGATAAGTTCCTTGTTAACCAACATCCCAGATATTTATATTTAGAAGCTTCTAATATATTTGACTTTCCTTGCAACTTACAACTTTCACGACTTTCCGATGGACTTATATCACTAACCGTCCAACTTTCACGATTTTTCACCAAACATGTCTGATTTTCCAACCTAACTTTTCAACTTCCAGCTGAAAGTTCTTTTAGAAAATATTTCTTAATATAACAACTCTTAGGTTAATGTAAATCATAGTTTCTATAATCTAGCCTATTTATCATTTACTCGTATGTATCTATCCATGGAAGGTACTAACGTTAGTACCTTCCATGATCTATCATACACCAGTAAATTAATTTAGATTCATGTGCTGCAAGTTAGAGCGCACATACACAAGCGGTCATTCCTCAGCAGGTGATTTAGCATTTCCCGTTCGAAGTCGTGAAACTCTCCGTTTTCACGCAATCTGGGAAGTCCGAATTACTAGACGAAGTACAGAACGACGAACAAACACATACCAAAAATTATGTCTCAAAAGTAAATATTCGTGATATATTTTAAGTCTATCTGAACCGGAATTGGAAATGTGTTACTACTCTAAATATCGAACCATTCTTTAGTATGGGAGTAGTAAATATTTGAAAGTTTTTTATAAATTTTGAATGGCAGTTGAAAATTTGACAACATTTCCCGTTCGAAGTCGTGAAACTCTCCGTTTTCACGCAATCTGGGAAGTCCGAATTACTAGACGAAGTACAGAACGACGAACAAACACATACCAAAAATTATGTCTCAAAAGTAAATATTCGTGATATATTTTAAGTCTATCTGAACCGGAATTGGAAATGTGTTACTACTCTAAATATCGAACCATTCTTTAGTATGGGAGTAGTAAATATTTGAAAGTTTTTTATAAATTTTGAATGGCAGTTGAAAATTTGACAATGTGTTCACAGATGCGCATGCATTGCATTAATTCGGCCATCAATGAAAAAAACCTGTAAGACTCGGGTAATGGGCATTATCCAATCGCTTTTACAGCCAATGAGAGCATATTCTTTGGTCGGTCTTTTAATGTTCTCCAGAGCAAATAAACTTCTGTGAAAACATACATGCCTTCATGGAATTCACTGTTTATATGTAATCAACCTATATCACCCCCCCCCCCCACACACACACACACACAAATTTGAGACATGGCATGTCTTTACCACAGTTATTGATTGAAAATATAACACCTAAAACTGTAGCCCTGACAAGTTGG